GGGGGGGGGGGGGGGGGGGGGCGATGCGGGGTGTGTGTTGTGGTGTGGTGTAGATTTGCATATGGACGGACAGACAGATGGATGTTGGTGTACCTGCATGGCTTGCGTGTGGGCGGGCAGGTGGGCAGGCAGGCAGTCTGTGTGTGTGTTGCCGAAGGAGCACCCTTGAGCACATTTTTTGTCCCAGGGTGATGGACCAAGGACACACAGACATACCGGCCAACAGAGAGACGGACCAAGTAATTTTGCGCTGCGACGACCTGTAGACATACGAGTGTGTGGTCGTGTGTGTGTCTTGTGTAAGGTGCGTCTGAGTCGTGGGCTCGTTGGTGCCTAAGAGGAGGCACGACGACTGAGTGCGGAGAGCAGATGCGTTCGTTCATTCCATGACGATGAATTCGACCCGACTCCAACCAAGCCACACGCACGAGTACCTAAGTAAGTGTACGACGAGTGAGACGGGAGGGGAGGGGAGTGAGTCGAGGGGCGAAGCTCTATGAGCGTGTGAACCGAGGGATGGATGAATTTGATGTGTACTGGCTGGCACCACAACAGGCCGGCTGGCTGAATGAATGGCTGGCTGGCTGGCTGATGGCGGCTGTCGGCTGTTGATTGATATCGATTGATTGATGATGCCCCACCCGTTCCATTGCCCCTCTGCATGTCGTGTTTGCCTTGCCCCCCGTGTTCGTGTGAGTTCGTGTGGCTACCTATACGTATCTGTCTACCTATCTACCTGGCTTATATCGCTTATACTATACCCATCCATTTCTCCGACGTACACCTGACTGACTGACTGACTGACTGGCGCAGGAAGCGATTTCTTTGTTTGCTGCATCAAGGACGGAAGGATGAATGAATGTGCCTATCTCCCGGTCGACGACTATTTATCAGCAGGAGGACCACTGGTACGTGTGTGTGTGTGTGTGTGATGTGTGTCCAAATGGCTTTGTAGTCATCTTTGCAGCCGACCAACGAAGGAGGAGGGAGGGACAAATAAGACCGCAAGCACACACACATCAGTCAGTCAGTCCATCCATCCATCCATCATCAAGCCAGCCATCGTCTGTCATGCAATTGAGCGAGTCAGCACCGAGCCAGTAGGTAGTGTATAACACACCAACACCACCCCACACCACACCACGCCCCAGGCAGCGAGCGCACCAGACGGTTTCTGTGCGCAGGCGGCACCACAACGGGCGGCAATCCAATCAGAATCATGATGATGATAATAACAGTATTGATTGCATTGTATGCATTGTAGCAGCCCCCCCCCCCCCCCC